GATCTCCTTCTTAGAATGAGTCTAAATAAAATTAATCGATACAGAAGGCGGCTTTTAGCTGCAGGGTCTTGTCCTGGCCTGTTCCCAGTAGCACACTCGAGCGTTGGCTTCTGCTGTGCCGATGTTCCTGCCGGTGCTGTGCAGCCCTGTCCCGACGGGAGCTTGTCAGCCGGCCCGCAGGGTCCGGTGGAGCCCTGCCTGCTTCGGGATGGTGGTGAGGAGCTGAGGCTGCTTGTGGCTCTTTGCACAGATGCAGTGCTGCTGGCAGGCACTAGCTGACAGCTTCTGCTGCCTTTTTTTTTTATTTTCTTTTTTTTTTTGCTGGTGTCAGTGCATTTTTTTCTATCTCCTTATCACGGAGAAGTGAAGTTTCTATTTCTGGGTAGTTAAAGATTTATGTGATAAAGGAGACACCTATAAAATAGGTGGAACTGCTGTTTGCATTTCAGCCTGTGGTGTGAAGAGAGCACAGGCCTCTTTGTCACCTTTTTCCACTTTGAAATAACATAGGCTACTGAGATTGCTTGTAAATAGGCTCGGTATGTAGCTAATATGTGACATACTGAAGTTTGAGATGCCGTAATTCAAGAGTGGAGCAGAGATTTTGGGTGGTGTAGCTTAGCTTGTGTGTTATGAAGAATGAAGTGTTGGGTTTGTGGCTGATGGGAGCCTAAAAGCCAAATCTGACCCAGGGCTGCTGAATTGGGTTTAAGTATAGGATCCAAAGTCTGTAAAAGTCAATGAAAAGACACCCATGGTCTTCAGATAATGCTTTTGTTAAGACTTCTAGGACTACAGCTCCTTCACCCATGCTCCTAACTCATTTTTTTTCTGCAGAGGGATCCATAATGCTGGATATCTTTTGCTGTGTGTGCCTGTATGTTCTGTAACAATAAAGCAATAAAAGGCAGGTTGCAAAAATGTGATATAGGCTTAAAAATCACAGTATGGAGAAGACTACAAATAAACATTGCTTCCTAGTATTTGTCTTCTTGTTTCTAAAGCTTTAAGTTACTCTCACTTCACATTTTCAAATACTTTTCCATAACCAAGCAGAATAGAAACCTGCTTTTTTGTTTTGGTGACATTTTCTGAGGAGAGATAAGATTTTTTTCTTTTTTTTTTTAATGCAATCTCTTCACCCAGCTGCTGGGCTTTAAGGAAAGCACCAGCTATGGCAGGGCTTGAGATAACAGCACAGGAGCTGACCCCGCAGAGGGTTAACAAACTATCAGGAGAGAGATTTACTGCTTTTCTCAGCGTGGCTCCAAAGCTGAGGGTCTCTTGTTTGCTCCAGCCCCGTGATGGCCCTGCTTGAACTGAAATCACTCAGAAGGAAGCTGGTGGCCTCCAGTTCCCTGTCTGGTGGTGGCTGTGGCCTCAGCTGTTACTGAGGAAGCAGGACCATGAACTCTGTTTACAGAGTCAGGTGAAAAAGCCTCCCCATCCACCTGAATGTTACTTCATCTTTGGGGCAGTTATGAACTGCAGGCAGGGGTGGTGTCAGACATTTACTGGATATTCATCCTGTTTGCTTCAGACCGTGTGCATTATTCAGGATGACTGGGTGCAATCATTAGCTCGTTTTGCTTAAATATGAAACAAAATGCTCCTCTATGTCACTAGTCCCCAAATCAAGAGCTCAACAGTGCCCACACCTGCTCTGGAGAAAAATTGGAAGTCCTTGGAGAAGCAGTTTGGCAGCCCTTTGCAGAAGCCTTTTTCTTTAGCTGTTCCATGCTGGGTTTCTGTATGGGGAATGCTTTGAACCAAGCAGAAGACATCTGTAATAGCAATTACCTTCTAATGTGCCCTTATTCACCACTGTAAACTGATCACAACATCCTGCAGGATTGAAGATGTGGAGTTGCATTCTTCCTCTGGACGCACTTGATTTAGACCTAAGTGGGGCAGACCTAATAGGAAAAAAAACCACAAGCTTGATCCTGACTACCAAAATAGCAGGCAAGGAATGAGAGAATAGCCTTTTTAGTGAAGAAAAATTGAATTACATTTAATATTAATTCCTAAATTACTCTCGTATGAGGTAAAAAAAGTAAGGCTTGAGGGTTTTTAGATAATGTCAAGGTTGAAAGAAGCCTTGAGGAGAAATTGTGACTTTTTTTTACTGTTCAAAAGAATGGAAGTAGTGCCTCAAAGTGTCTTCTGGCAAGAAACTTTCACTTTGGTAAATTATTGGATGTGTCTGATGCCAGTGATGTGAATAACTACAGAGCGGTGCAGAACAAAACTGAGGCAGGTATTCTGCAGCAGGCAGTGATGCCTGGTAGGGTGAAGAACAGGGAACAGACTGGGGATAGCATGATGGTTTCTCAGGCATTACCCCTCAGTAGTAATGTTTGGCTGTCTTTAACTGTGTACATCCCAAATATAAGGAGTCTTTTAATATACAGTCTTCGAGCATACTACAGAATCGCAGAGTAGTTGAGGTTGGAGGGGACCTCTGGAGATCGCCCACGCCAACCCCATGCTCAGAGCAGGGTCAGTTACGGCAGGTTGCTCAGGACTATGTCCAGTCAGGATGGAGACTCTACAACCTCTCTGGACAGCCTGTTCCAGTGTTTGATCGTTCATACAGTAAAAAAAAAAAACCAAAAACCTGTTTTTTTTCCTAATGTTTAAACATGATTTCCTATATTTCAGTTCACGCCCATTGCCTCTTGTCCTGTCACTGGGCACCACCAGCATACAAAAACTGTAGGCAATTAAAGTAACACAGAAAGAATGAGTAAATGATAGATTCAAAATACCAAACTTCAAAGCAGTGGCATTTGATTTTGTTTGAAACTGGTGCTTTGCCTGACACTTTCTGACGTGTTTCTCAATGTGCTGTGGGACAGCAAAGCCAGTATGTTCAGCTGTGGGGTAAAGTAATGATAGAGGGTGGGATTCAGCTGGTTGGATGTAGATGGCTTCATCTGAGGTTGCCACTGAGACTCTCTAGACAGCCACCAGAGAGAAACGGGTTATTCCATAGATGTCGTCTTGAAGTCATCCCTGTTCGGGTGAGCTCCCTAGAGATCCCTTTGTATCTCCACTGATCAGACAGGGAGCCCAGATGGTCAGGTTAGATGCAGGTGTCTGCATGTGATAGATGGATCCTGCACAAAGTGCCCTTGGAGGGGCTCTCTGTCTCCAGAGCAGCACCGATACTGGGGATCGGTGGGGATCAGTCTTGGAGCTTAATGAGCAAACAGAGGAGATGGTCGTAGGAACAGCAGCTTACAGGTGTTCACATGGTGGGATGGCTGCCCTCAGACCAGGCTCCTCTGGGGAGAAGACTGCCTTCCCGTGGCGCTGGTGTGTCCAGCAGAGCCCACGGGGCCCTGCTTGTGTCTGTGGGACAGACCTGGCCCTTAGCTGTCCCATGGCCCCATGGCAGCCCCATGCACTAGAGGCTGAGCATGTCTCCCTTGGATCTGCTCTGGAGGCAGCTAGCCCTATCTGGTGTGCTGTTTAAAAGCTGCTCTAGATTTATGAACATGACCCCAGGACGTTGTGATTGAGGGTTTGGTTCCCTGCCCCTCAAGAGTCAGTCCTGCTGGAATTTCTATACGATGTTTGAAAGGGAGTGTAAAAGAAATCTTGTCAGAGTTCTGGGAATCTGCCCAAGCGCGTGTTTGTGTCGGTTACTGTGGTGGGGTCTTGCGGGGCGCAACCTGTAAAGCCATTGCTTGCAAGTGGGGAAGTCCTTCTCCTTTGCCGAACTGCTGAGCAGAACCAAATTCTTCAGAGCTCTGGACCATGAATGTGCCATTTCGGTGGGTTTGTGTCCTCTGGCAGATCACGGATGAATTACAACCATTTTTGTTTTCTATGTGACTAATGGGGTAAACTGCGTTTAGGCTAAAATACATTTGTTCCACTTTTTGTGTCTTCGCCCCTGCCCTGCTTTTTGCTTTTTTTTTTTTTTTGCTAAAGACCTTAAAGAAAGCGAAGGTCCTTTGCTGGTACAACATGTTGAGATTAATTCTGACCCGCTAGATCACATACTACAACTGCTTGCACTTAGCAGCTTGGCATGAGATGCTACCAAAGGTGACCTTCACGATGCCTAGTAAGAATATAAAGCTCTTGAATCCCCCTCTGAGTGACGTACACCTAATGCTAAAGGTGGGATAGAAGTTTTCAAAGTTACATATCATCGTTAGAAGAGCAGGAGGCTACTACTCTGAGGACATCCGGATGCACTGCTTGTTCTGTGTAATGTCCCGCTTGATGGTGCCTTACTTATACTGCTGCTAACAAAAAACAATATACTGATGTATACCTTTAGCCTGTTGTACAGTGACTTAAATCACTTGTTGTTATTGCTAGTCCATTTGTATTTTTCTAAGCATTTGTGTTCCACCAGCACACTCAGAGTGAGTACTCTCGAGGGGGAATTTCCTTCCTGATAAACAATTCTGCAATGTGATTCAGCAGGAAGGATGTGGTGGTGAAGGCACTGGACTGGGATTTGGGAGACATGGGTTCTGTTCCCAACTCTACCACAGTCAAGATGTGATGGGTGGAAGGGCAAGCAAACAAAGAGGAGGAGCTGTTTAGCTACGGCAAAAACATACTTTCACGTGGACTGTTTGTCCAGTTTGGAAGTTAGATAGGTCTGGTTTTTGTTTGGTTAATCAAGTAAACAGTGTTAGAGACTCCTGTTTGTGCAACTGAAATCTGAAAGCTAATCTTGACCTATTCCATTAATCTAGGTGTTGTTTTAACTACACGTTGTTTTAACTTGCAAGAAATTTCAGATGCCACTTTTCAGTGTTTCTTGGTTGACTTAATTCACCGATTCACCATTTAGTTCTCTGATCTTCAGGCAATGTACTATGACTTCTGCGCTAAGTTGTATATGCACACAGTTTCTCCACTGTCTTGCTTAGATACGAAGGCAACAGACCACACACAAGATATTTCTTTTGTCACACAGGGTGAAGTTCCTACAGTTTGATAGTAACACTACCTTTTTTCTTTTCAGAAGCAAGAGCTTGGGCTACCAACTCTGAGCTGTAGACCACTAAGCTCAGCATCCTGATTTGGTGCCACCTTTGGGAGGATGAATCAGGACAGTGACTCAAGTGATCAGCCCACTGGTGAGTTTTCTGCTTGTCCAAGCGTTTGCCTATCTTCTCCTGTTTGTCCAGCATGATTTGCTTTCCATTCATTTTCCTTAGTGCTATTGGAGGAGAATGCTTCATCACAAATAGAGCAAAACCTGTGAATTCAATGCTAAATTGTGTGCCATGAAGGTTACTGGATCTTTGAGGTTTCCTGGTCCACATCTAGATATCAGCGTCCTTTAAAATTGTATTCCAGGTTGAAACTTCTTATAACAACTGTTTTTATAACTTCTTGCACACACATAGCATTTTCATGTATGTCCCACAAAGTTTCAGTGTTAGGATCCTTGCCGGAGAGATTGAATGGACAGGAATTTATTACTTATTCTGGCTCAGTCCTGCCATAAATTTCCTCTGCTCTTCCATCCCCATCTTTGGTTATTGGAATTCAGTATCATCTAGTGCTTCTGGCAGTTTCTGCAAAGGAGAAAGGCCTGGGAGGCGCGTAAGCCAGAAGCAGTGCCTGACAGCCTCCCAGGCTCTTGCTCAGCTGTGTGCTTTTTTGGATGTGTAAAGGGGCATTCTTAGTTCTGACGTGAGGGCTATTTTTTGACAGTTTCCATTGTTCCCTACTCTTTGTTAATGGGTGAGGTCTTTTCGTCCGATTCCTTTTTCAGAAATCGAGGCTGTTATGAGAGCTGTCTGCTCACAGGTTTGGGGACGTGTCTTTTGTTGTCAAGAGTCCTGAGAGTTTCTTCCTCCCTTTTTCAGACTTACTCACGCAAACTCGTCCAGACAATATCTGTCTGAGGGAACTGCTAGGATATCCCCTTGCTGGGATAGCAGGGAAAGTGGTCCTCATAGCCACCACCCTTGTGCCATGCTCTTGCTGTCACAGTCCACTTGGCTGTAGGCAGAGCAGATTGATGAGTTTGGGGTTCTGAACACCTGCCTACACTAAAGATCTTGCTGTTGTCTATGGGTTTGAATCTGGGAGTTCAAGAATGGAAAATTTTCGGAAAATTCCTGTGGTAACATGGAATATCTATTCTTTAATACTCTGCATGTGTTTTTATTACTGTGAACAGATGATGATTACACGTCAGGATGTCATGCAGATTCATGAATCATCCACAAAAGGACCTAGAGGCTGGGTCTTTGGAAAAAGACATTCAAGGAAAGTCTCCATAACACAAACCATCCTGGGTGCTCATGAGAAATATGTGGATCGCATGGTCAGAATATTCATAGATTGCTCATTGCAGCGTTGTTTTTTGTAGGGGTAATAAATGTTATGCTTTGAGTTTAGATCCACTCTAAAACAGGCACAGGAATGAAGCTGTCAAGAGGGACATATTTCCGATGTACTACTTGTATGGATTTTACACCTTCTGTTGAAGCTTAGTACTGGTTACTCTTGGAGTCAAGATACTGGGTTAAACAGGCCTGATCCACTATGATTTATATCTTGACTGAAGATAGGGATCTTCAAATTTGGACCTCCGTTTGTTCAGCATCCAGCACCAGCCCTCTGTAGCCACCTAGTAAGTTTTACATTGTCAGTTCATTTCATTATCTAAGCCTTGCTACCACTGTAGCTATACTTAGAGAGGAAGGATATTATAATCTTGTGAAAGATTAAAATATTTTTACTGTAATCCAGCTGGAAGGTAGCACTTTTCTCAGGGTAAGAGACAGCCAAGGTTTTTCCCATTCTGTCCTCCCCTTGTATGCAGGAAGGAAGTGCTGGCAAAGGCCCCCTCAGCTTCCTGTCGACTTCGGAGCGCGTTTCCAGACACAACCTTCTCCACTATCCATCACCCAGCCCAGCCAAACAATCACAGCAGCGCAACGGGAAAAACACACGTCTCGCATAAACACTTTGGAGGCAGCGTGAGCGCAAACCACTGGGGTTCATGCACAAGCCAGTTTGGTCTGTAGGCTGTGTCTGATAGCAGTTTACTGAGGATTTTCTTCCCTTCCCTTTATAATCAAGTACTTCAGTAATCAAAATTCCCCTTCAGAAGAAGCAGCTTAACAAAGAAAAAAAGGGGAAAAAGAAGGAAAAGGGCTGATGTTTAGTAAAGAAGCTACTGCACTGGCAGGTTGTGGAGCCTTAAGCCAAGGAAATGACTGGGGATGCTCTCTGGTCCAGAGCACCCCAGGGTGATGTGTCTGGCCACAGGGGAAGGAAGTGACTGTTGTCTGGCATGACGGAGGCAGAGGTTTCTGTCAGATCTTCAGGGTAGGGCAGTGATGAGGCAAACGCTATCTGTGATGCCTTAAAGAAGGAGGAAATGAATAAGGTGGAGGCCTCACCTTTAAATTAATCACCTTTGCTGAGTATGATTCTGTGCCTCTCTCCAAGAAAAGGCTCAGAACTGAACTGTAATCTTTTTCTTGTATTACTGGTTTTGTTTAAAAGCTGCATTACAATATTTAGATAATATTTTCAGACCTGTCTGCTCTGTAACCTTTTTTTAACCATTCCTTAAAACAGCTATTTGTTTTTTTTTTTTTTCAGTACAGCTTTAGTATTCTCGCCAACTTTGAGCTGGGGATTCCATTTTGGTTCTGATAGCAAAAGCCTGCAAAGATCAGTTGTTAAGAGATGATGAGCAATCACTGAAACACCTCTCAAGATCACTGTATAATCCTGTTGTACTACTGGATATGACAGAATATCAAGAGTCTAACTTGACAGAGAAACAAGTTTGCAATATTTGAGGCTTAATTTTCCTTATACATCTAGCCTGAATGCTTTATGTGTAAGGCTGAGCACCTAGGTTAGTCTTTTTGGGTGTGAGCATCCACACAAATAGAGCCCTGTCTGCATTACCATGTTCTCACTCTGCATTTTCCGGTAGGTATTTTGGAAGCCATCCTATTGTTCTTTGGCCTGAGACACTCCAAAGCTACCTCCTAGTAGGTTGTGTCCAACAGCAAGAGGACTGGTTTGTATTTGGGAATGGAAGGAGGGGGATGGAAAGACTACCAACCACCACAGCAATTACACCTGCCCTCCTTGTTTCACATTGATGCTGCCCATGTTGAATTGTACTCTCTGTTTGAGCCCACACCTCTGAGTCAGCTAAGCACATCAGCTTGTAAATTAGTGTGTAATTAAAACACCTCGAAGACTTCTCTGTTTGGTCATTGGAGGGTTTGGGGTAAAATTCAAGTCAGAGTCCAGCTTAATGATAAATTTAAAACTTACCCTGAAATTTCAGCAGTTGCTCATAGTGTAAGAAAATAATATTTTGTGGGGTTACGTTTTCCCGAATTAACTGACACTGCAGGATTCCTTCAACCTTTCCTCTGACTTCTCTCTGAAAAAGGCCGCTGTCAGTAATTTCTGCAGCGTGACTTATTTTTGCAGCGTGCCTGGTGTACTCAGAGTCAAAATAGTATTTACTTAAGGCTACGTTTTGGTGACGTTGGGATGAAACTTGAATATGAGTGTAAGCTCTAGAATTAAAGACAGAGTATGTTGTTTTAATGACAAGGTTTTTAGGCTAGAGTTGTGGAAGTAATTGGTGAAGACTTTCCAGAAACAAATTGCATACTACTGAAATCTGGCCACTCTGTCCCCCTACGCATACTGGCCGATGTGGTGGTTTTATTTGTAACACGTCTTTCAGTGCAGTTTATGCTTTTTATACTTTCTTACCATGTAAAAACCAGTGTGTAACTCTTAACTGTCTTGACAAGCAAAAAATCCCCAGCTCCATGCTGGCTACCTGCACAAGCACCTCGTCTGCCCAGCCAGATGTGCCTTTCTGTGGTTATTTAATTCCTTCTCTGTTTCACATTTTTATTGTCCTTTGTCTGGGCTTGCAACAGGCATGGGGTGGGGAGTAAGCTCCTTAAATGCCTTTACCATACTCTGTGGGACAGAAATTATTTCTTATTTAAGGTCTGTACAGAATGCAGTATTATGGAGTCCTCATTTACAATCTGAAGGCATTTCTGAAATGCTAACAATTATTTTTAAATCTACCAGAAATGCACATGAATAACACCAACAGAAAAAAAAAAAAAAGGTAAAAGTTACAGGGGGTGGGAAGGATAATAAACAGCAGTAATAGCTGTATGTTTATGAAAACAATAACAAAACCAAAAAACTTACCCATCAGGGCAATGGCCTAGAACTAAGAAAAGTCAGGTTTCCCCACTGGTCAGGGCTGAAAGTAGATGCTGTCAATTGAAGTTGTCAACTTCAAAAGAAAAAAAGCAAAACTCAGCAACCTAGTTTCAGGTCCTGCCATAGACCCAAAGTCCCCAGACAGTTTGTGGCATTTGGCAGTCTCATTTCCCTGTTTTGTGAAAGTATTAATCTTCCCCTTTGTGAAGCTGCTTGACTGTACATGGGAAAGTGCTCACATTAACAGCATGCAAAACTTCTTAATTTCCTTCTAGAAAATAATTTATTGTGTCCTTGCTTGTCCTGGCCATCCTGTTTGGAGGAAGGAGACATCACTCTAACGGGCAGTGGGTGCAATTCTGCTCAGTTCCCACATGCACTGAGCTCTTATTTATTTTATTAATCTAATTATGCACTGTGACAGCAATGGGTTAAAAAAAAGAGACAAGACTGTGATTTGTTGACAGTGTCCCTTTTAAGTACAAGAGTGCCAACTTGAAATCAATCCACCGCATGCTAGCCGAGCAATGTAAGGAACGCGGGACGGCAGTAACATGATCAGATTTGCTGAAACCACCGAGCAAAAGTGCTGCTGCGCTGGGAGAGGCTGCGAGCAGCGGAGGTGTTTATTTCAAGAGACTGTGGCTAGGAGGACTGGTAATTCTCAAAGAAGTGAAAGCAGGCAGGGACTTGCAAGCCCCTTCTGACATGTGCTAGTGGCTGTCATGGTTCATGGCTTAAGGGAAGACACGTCCTCAGGACTGCCAAAGTCTCTGAAAAGTCAAAGAAATAGGCTTGTGATAGTAAATGCTGTTTGCCCAGGGATACAAAAACACTGTGTGACTGAGAAGAATTATGTTTAGATTGGACATGTGGTCATACGGCACAA